TATAGTAAAAACATGGCATTATAGAATTTCCTAATATCTGAAATTTACAAGCAATTTCCAAAAGTGATTAAGAAAAGTATATGATCACAGGTTTTTTTAAAGGCACTAAGCTATGGTTTGGACTACAGTGGTGTTTTCTCATCTCCCAAATTTCTAAACCCACTGGAAATGACTGATTTGTGGTCTCCTTGCAAGGAGCAACTGTCTAGAGCACATGGGGATGATCTTCGTCTTCTCCTTGTCTAGAGAGGAATTCAAGAGTTGTCTTTTTATTCTGGCTCTCATTTGCTGAAGCCATTGGCTATACTGCACAATTTCTTGCCCAGAAGTCCTGATAATTGATCTCTCCTGAACTAAAATTCCTTCTCAACCCAGTTTCTATAATGAGTGAACAAAAACCCATCTGTTGTTTTGGCTTATACTTCCATGACACCATCCTTGTTTTCTGAACACATAGTGTAGCGTTCACCCCATTCACTCACAATTAAATCTGCACAGAAATCTGAAGCACAGAATGAAGAATGCAGCTTACACCAGTAAGCAGTCGTCAGCTCAGCCTTGGCAGTGATATGTGACGCTCGTGTGGGATGTGAGAAAAGCTACACAGTAATGTGAGCTGCTACCAACTATCCAAACAGAAGAACTGGATGCAACTGAGTACATAAGAAATTGTGTATGTACTAAACAACAACTGCTCTGAAGGTGGAGGGGGGAAGGAACTGCCATTGTTATCAGTCTGCTTCATGAATACAGTAAGGGTTCACTGCCAAGCACCTGTTGTGGCACCAAATCTTGTGTAAGTAGGACTTTAGCATTCAGGAGTAACCCCATACCCTGGATAGCAGAAGATTTCTTGAAAGAGAAGTGAATGGGGAAAATGTTTACTTAGTCACAGCGGGAAGATTTTTCTTCTGTAAATTTCCTTAGTGGACCACCAGCAGTATAATCACAGTATTTCTTAAACTAAAAAAAGGTAGAAAGTCAGTGGTTCTATCTAGAAGTTAGAAATGAGATGTTGTGTGCGTGTCTACATGTGGCCATGAACAGAGGCAGATTGGAGGCTTAACTTGCAGAGAGGGGACAGCCAACTCTGGCTGAGTTGTCCTTCAGATGCTGTCAGCCTTTTTCAGTAGGCAAGGGCCTACCACCATGAAAAAAAGAAGGGACAGCAGGCAACATGCTTTTACTGGGGCAAAGATTACTGATGGAAGTAATGATTCTTTAGATATTTGTTTTTGTTCTGTTATATGGAAATAATCCAGTGCTTCTTATGGCAGCCTCAGTACCACATTAGGACATGCAGGAAGGAAAGGCAATAAGTGAAATCCTAACTGGATTTTCTATAGTAAGATCCTTCCTTCAAATGCTAAAGTAAAAACAGCCACATTTTCATTCAGCCAGTAAGCCTTACTTTTTCGCAGCTACTAAAATTCACATTTACATACTTGCAAATATGAAAAAAGTTAATGTTTGTTTATATTCTCATACTTTGTTATAAAATAACAATACAGAAATAGATAATAAATGTGTAATCTGTAAGAAATAGACATATTTGTACACATTAGAATCAAATGCAAGATCAAAGACTGGGTGCAAGGCAATAAGTTACATTGAATTGCTATGAAATAAAATGATAACATATTGTTTAAGCATAAAAGAGCTTGTTCAAAGGCCTGGAACTAGGAGTACACAGAAATAAAACATGTTTCTCCAGTTGTAAAAACTAGCTTGCCTTGTCACAGAAATATTTCATTTGCTACAGATGAGTAGTAATTTGTACAGGTATTTTCTAGCCATACTAATTTTCTAAATAGTTGTCAGGGATGCTTGCTGAGATTCTGGAAGCTGTAACTTCAATAGATACTTAGAAGGGGGTTTGAAATTGTCCAATTTATGTCTTATGGAATGCTTTGAATAAAATGAAGGACATTGGCCCTCTAGATATTGCTAAATTACATCTATCAGCATCTCTCACTATTAGTCTGACTTTAGTTATGGCAGCTGGCTGGAAAGATAGTGTAGTAACATGTAGAGGCCAGAAATCAGAAGTCCTAACATCTTTTGCCTTGAAGATGCATGAATAGCAATGCTATATTTTTGGCCAATATAGCTGTGGTTGGCCTTGTAGGACTTAAATCCTTTTCCATCAGTTACTCGTTTTACACCAACGCCTCTGCATATGAGTCCACTCCACATTCCAGTAGCTTTGATGTGTTTTCATACCACAACATTTCAGCATTAAAGGTCTCAGCTTCTTAGAAATGCCAGTGCACTTTGAGGTGCAGTCAATCCCAGGGCTTTAGATCCTAGACTTCAAGGGATGTCTCTGGCTGTGGACTAAAGACCCATCAGGCCTGGCCCACCCTCTGCCAACAAATCCTCTGCCTGACAGGATAAAGTTGGATGCTTGACAGCCATCCCAGGCTGGCCTTCAGCTACTCAGAGCTCAGTGTGACAATTACAGCTTTCTTTTCTACTTCTTACTGCTGGCTCCATCTGTCCACAGTCCATCTGGGGAAAACAAGCACAAAGGAACTAGGCCAGGTGGCTCTGGAATAGCCATCTTTAACCTGTTTCCCATCTGTTCACCTTGGTTGCTAATGTAATAATCCCCCAGGAATTTAAAGGAATCTACTTGTGGTTTTATACTAGGGCTGAGCTGGCATTTTCTTTCATATTATACTAAGCTGGACTGTGTATGCAGTGAGGGAAAAGACAGTGGAGGGATGTTGGCCTCAACCTAGGCAGGGCACATGGCCTACCTCGCTGATGCTGAGTGAGATTTTGTTTAGAAAGTCCTGCAGGCGATTCCTGAAGTCTATCCCCAAATTGTCACTAGGTTGTCATTTGAATATGAGAGAAGGTAAATGTTGTTAGTTACATGAGGAGTACTTGTGCTAATAGATTTAATTTGATTTTAATCAAATTTAAAAGGAATGCAAGTTTTTTTTTGTCCCCAAAGCATCTACATACAGTGCCCACATAACACTCAAAAGGCAGTTGTGGCTTTTTAATCCCAAATGTTATACATGTTTGTTCCACACAGAGAAGATCCCAATCCTGGTTAGATAATCTGGTATTGTATAAGACAGATCCATCTGTTCCTGTTCCTGTTCAGCTCCCATTAGCCCTTTGTACCAGTGATTGAGGACTATGAAAGATATACACCAACCAGATCAAGAGGGCTACGGATTCATTCTCTCTTTTACAGTATGATTTCCCATTTTCTGCTGAAGTTTTGACTGATAAAAGCTCTGTGATAGAGTAAAACAACAAGGACTTCTCATAGTCTTCTAATTATCCTCACTTGCTACACCACAAATTTCCCCTCCAATAGAAAGAGGTTTTGTCCCTTTCTAGAATTTTAGATCTATACTGTCTGAGGCTAATTTCAATTTTGAAGACCATCTAGTTAAGATTTGGCAGCTGCTCAGCATCTTAGCCTAAGAGCCTCTTTTGCTTACAATTGGACTATCTTATCTTGAATTTAGTGCCATGGCTGCTGATACTTTTCTGATCTTTTAAGAAGGCAATACTTTCAAGAATGTTTTGTCCAAATAATGGATTAAACTTTTGTTTATGATGTTGGTATCTGTTAATGTATGTGAAATCTATCTTTGATTTATACCAGGGGTCCCCAAACTTGGCAACTTGAAGATTTGTGAACTTCAACTCCCAGAATTCTCCAGCCAGCTATGCTATGCAGAATTCTGGGAGTTGAAGTCCACAAGTCTTCAAGTTGCCAAGTTTGAAGACCTCTTCAAGTTTGAAGACCTCTGATACTCTTATAGGCCATATTTAATTTAGTACTGAAAAAAGTAAAATAGTATGGCTATCAAGTTATACTAAAACCAGTTCCACACAGACCAAATATTATTACCAGTTTTTCATACCTTTGTTGTAAATCTACAGTACTCCAAATATAATTTACAGAAGTATGGTATATTTAGATGTTTTCTTTAAAAGGGAATCATTATAAAAACAGATATAAATCAGATTTATTGGATTACAAATGAATACATTTTGATAAGCAAAATTGGTACAGCAGGAGTTCACCTGAAATCTAGGCAGAACCTGTACAGGTATTGCTATTAATTTTCCTGCTCTAATCTTATTCTCAGAAGTCCTCATTCCCTTTATTTTTGAGAGCAAATGAATAAGTATGAAAGTGCAACAGAATGCTCACACTCACTTGTTCAAAAAGTGTGATCAGTTTCTCCTTAAAATGACTACAGGTGCTATCCAAAAAATCCTGTTAGTTCTACATCTATGGTCAAGCACAGTTCTAATTAAATAGCCCCTCTAACCTTTTAAAAAACTTTTTAAAAATATCTGCCCAAGAACACACTATCTGTGGAAGACAAGTTTACCACTATGAATACTTGTACATTCTTGAAGAAATCAAGCTTCCAAGAGTGGAGGTGTCATGTAACCTATGTATAGACCGTGTCAATTTTCTCTGAAAAACAGCAGGAGAAAGTAAGAATTTATTCCCCAATATAACATTCATTGAAGTCAGAGGATGGTGCCAACATACATTCTTCCCCAATACAAGTGCTCTTCACAAAGCCTCTAATGCCATTATGGATTCGGGTAACAGAATACTGTATGTAGTTCTTCCATCCTAAAGAAGCAAATTCAGATGCAAAAATATGTGGTTCAAATAGCATAAATTGCAGTATAGCTTTCTTCAAACCTGCTACTCAATGTCCAGATGTAATGGACACCAACTCACATACATTCTGACTAGCACAATTCCCATGCATGGTTTCCAAGCCTGCTGAGAATTATGGAAATTAAAACCCAACATACATGTAATCCATCAAATTGGAGAACGCTATGTCCAGTCATCAAAACAAAAAGTATCCTGTTAACAAAGATAACAAGGACAAGAACATAATAGCGATCAATGAAAGTTAGCTTTATAGAAGAATCTATGGGTTAGAAAAATATATTGTGACATTTTGGTTTTCATATAGTAAATCAGCCATAGCAACTGCTGCTAACAAACCAGAATTTTAATTTTAATACCATTGCTATGTCATACATGATGTTATAATGGATAGAGTCTTCGGTGTGCTAAGTCAAAACAATTAAATCATCATATGTTTATAAATTACTTAAACCCAGCCATTGCCTTACCTTTATTACATCTATCTCAGCCGGCACTCAATCAGCTTTTAGAAAACAATTGTTCATGATTAAAATCTTGGCAAAAGGGCTCAAGATACTGAGGACCAACTCCTAATATATCCAGGCACAGATCCTAATACATTTCTATGAATGATTATTTTATGTAAATTTGACTTCAAATATCTCATGACCCAAGCAAGAAAAATCATACCTGGTCATTTTAATTATGCAATTAATGAATCATGAATCAGTGAATGCATTCTAGATGTAACACTTTCTGATAGTTTTAGGTCTACTATGGTTAGACAGTCCACAAACAACCTGCCCCCCCAACAGGTTACTGACAGAACTGCAGGAAGAAATCCCAGCTCCTTACATGGGTATGCCAGAAAAACTGGTGAGGTTCTCATTGATTATGGGTTGACTAGGCCAGTGCTGACTGATTTGCTGTTTACTCTATGTTCTTCAGGAAATCCAGCAGCCTTTGGTGCCATTCATCTGGCTTGTCAAGATAACAGGCATGGCCTGCCCCTTTCATCATCATTAACTTGTGATTAGGTAAATTCTTCAAGTTGTTCAGGCTCACTTCACCCAGTTGGACATCTTGATCCCCATATACAATGAGAGTTGGTGTCTGTAATGCAGGAGAGAGGAAAAAAAATCAAGCCTGGTTCAATCAACGAATGAATGTTCTTGCCTGTCTTAGATCCTAATAATGAAAAATTAGTTCAGATGAAAAATAGAGACAGAGGTGTTCTCTTCCGGGAAAAAAATCCTTCCCGTATTGCTGTTCAATTTATGTGGCTACATTAACCATGTAGCTAATTTGTACTTGCTCTCTGTGTTTTATAATGGCATGCTCTTAGCCCAGTTTTCAGGCTATAAATATATCCAATCAGTATTAGCAAGAGGATGATCCTTTCCTGGTGGTGATAGAAATGCAAATCTTCAGCAAACACAAACCTCTTCTACATTTGCAAAACAGAGTAACTGCAGCAGATATTTTCAGCAGGACCACAGGGAATTCCCATCATTATCAAAAACCCACCATCACCCTAACTAAAAAAAAATATGTGCAGATCAGATTTGCAAGGGCAAAGGTACATGCTAGAAAAGACTAAAATCCCCAAAAGGGAGCAATCTGGATAGGGGTCAAATTAAATGCTCTACGCTCACAAGAGACATGATAAAAGTCGGAGAATGTTCACAGAAATTTATCGCAGTAATTGTAATTCTTCTACATTCAAAACTACAATTCATTTTAGGTGTGCCAGATTCTTACTGTTGATGCAGATGTGGAATTTATTCAACTAATGTAATAAAACATGCATAAAATGAAATGGAACCCAGTGAGAATCTCCTGAACCCATCTGAGTATTCTTTTAGAATGGTATTGCCCATTTTCTTGGTATATCTTCACAACACTATAAATATTCCCCAGATTGAATATAGGTCTGCTTTTCCTTATTAGTATTGTATTTGAGGGTAAGGCAGTGTGCATTGCCCCCTAATGGACAACTGATGAACTCCTGCAAGGTTGACAATACATCTGTAAATCCACTTCCATCCACATTTTCCTCGCATAGTTGTGAAATGCCAGTTGCATAACTGAGATAACCCAGCCCTTCTAATTATGTCTTGTACCAAAGAAGATTCTGCTCCAGAATTCCCTTCTTCTTTAGACGAACATACCTTGACACTGGCATATTGGGTTGGAGGGAACTTCTCTGTGCAGATGGGTGCCACTGGGATGTAGGCTTTCAAAAGGTGATTGTGCTGAAAAAGGAATGGGAGTGAATACATTCCACTGAGAGATGGACTGATCACCACTGCTTGGTCAAATTTCAGGGCCTCCAAGACATCCTTCAAGAAACTGCCCGGGGCTGGTTCTCCGACAGGAGCTGGAGCAACAGCATCTTTAGAGCGGCCGAATCCTGGATCACAAGAAACAAGACATCCTGCATCACACATATTCTATATGTGTAGCCCTCTCCAACCAAGCATCCTCAGCTGGGTGATTACAACTCCTAGCATTCCCAGCTCAGAAAGACAACTGCCCCATTTGGCTAGGAATTCTGTTTGAGGATTGAGCCATATATAAGCATTTAAACTATAAATCCCCAAGTTTCATTTTTGTGACACTTGAAGCCCCAATAATATACCATCAAAATTGTGGTAAATCATTCAGTAAGATGTTTTTGTCTATCCCTTTCAGTGGACAGAACTGTGGCTAGGTAGACTCAGGTGGAAAGCACCTCCCAAATCCTGTTCCAGAACCCTCTGGTTATATTTCACTACCCCATCCTATTGCAAGTCTTGGCTTTGTGAAGGTATGTGTCCCTGCAACTGGAAGATACAAAGACCATGCTTTGTTACTATATGGATTGATTCACTAGATTTTTCTCTTCAAGGCAGAAGAGAAAACAACTAAGTTCTTCCATATATTTTACCAATTGTCATTGCTTGTGGTCCTTGCTTACTGATTGCAACCAACTGAAGTTATGACAGCATTAAAAAAAAATGCAACCAATCCTTGCATTTACAATTGTCTCAGTATCCTGCAGTTACATGTTCACCATTCATGCTTATGGCAAGTAATTAATAGAGAATGCAGAAATGAAATCTTAAGTGGCTTTATTTTTTGCTTAGTGACTCCATTACTTAGCTTAAAAACAAAGGCAAAATAAGGTGGCAAACCCATCACAATCACTTGATTTTGGGCTTAAGCAGCTATGTTGTGCATCAGCCAAATTGCTGGTCCCAATTGCTGTTTTTACTATCACCCTCACCTGAGCTACAGATATTCACCACTATTGCAAACTCCTATTACTGATTATATAAACCTACATTCCCACATATTTATACAATCTTTAAATATTTATTATAAGGTAACCAATATAACATAAAAGGAAGGTAGTCCCTGATTTCACAATTTAAGAAAAGTTAAGGAGAAAAAAACATAAGAGGACACCCAAAATTAGTACTGTGAGAGATGAGGATGCTTATTGTGTGTATAAGCAAGCTACTGATTGCAGATAGAAAAAGGGAATGAACTTTAGTATCCAGGAAAAGTCACAACCAGCAAATTGTATCTTTGGATAAAAGAATTATGAACAGATGCATTTTATTGCAAATATCCCTTGCATGTAAAAAAGCATTGGGGTTTTTTGGAGATCTATGTCTTCCCTTGAACCCAGAAAAACATATAACATGGTTTACACATAAGGAACAGCTTTCATGTTTTCTTACATACTATATTTTGCCCATTTTATAATATAAGACTGCCATACAGATGGAAATGAACTTACAAAGTTGAATACCATGACAATGAGACCAGAAAAAAATCAGAAGTCTCTCTAAACCTTAACTTTCCTGTTGCATCTCTGGAAGTTCAAGCATGATGTAAATTTTTAAGTTAGCCTAAAACAATCCATTTGTTGGCTTGATGTTGCAACTGAGCTAAATTATATTTTAGAATTAGTGTGCATATTTTATGGTAATTGTAACACACACACACACACACACAGTGTGTGTGTGCATATGTATATGTATACACTTGAATATATAGGTACATGTTTGTGTGTGTGTATATTTATATATATGTGTGTGTGTGTGTGTGTGTGTGTGTGTGTATATATATATATATATATATATATATATATATATATATATATTGCTGAATACCATATATATATATATAATGTATATATATGTGTGTGTGTGTATAGTTATTTATTAAATAAATAAGCCTAAAAACATGATCTATTATATTAATATAATTATTAGTCTGATAAAGAATAATTCTTTTACTTTGGTATTGTATCACACAAAGCCTCATTTTTAACCATAATTTGTTGGAATCAGATTTTATATATTCTGCCTTATTTTTGCTTCTGGTGACACAGAAGCAAAAGTGACAGTCTTCTTAAATATCAAATTGTATAACCTGCCTTTCTTTTGCCCAAATCTCCATTGCCCACTGAGAATCAAGCCCACCTGGCAGGTCAATAGCTACAGCATGGTATCCAGCTTCTGCCAACTTAGACAAAGTCTGCAGGTTGAGCCACGTCTCTGATGAAAAACGAATGCCATGGAGCAGCAGGAGGGAAAGGCGAGGAGCCTGTTGTGTAGGTTTAGCCTGGCGGGAGAACAGAGTCTGCCCACCCACTATGATGGTTTCCTCTGTCACCTGTATTGCAGCCATCACCCTGGGATCTCCTGGGAAGCCTGAAGACATGAAGTGAGCAGAAAAAAGATTCAATGATTGCCTTCGGCATTGATTTTCATAATATATTGTAAGAATAGATTAATTTTTGTTATTAAATATATACATGACATACTTAACTGATTCGGTATGTTCACTCTGAATAGTCTCTTCCTCTTTGCTGGTCTGATATTTACATTTTTTATTATTATTTTACCTGTTTGATCTTATAGTTAGTAATTAAATTGTTAGTTCTAAGTATGTTTCTGGTTTTCAAAAAATGTTTTGTATATAGTTTCCTCTGCAATTCTATTTTTAAAATTGCTATAAAAATAGAGCTGGGTCTGTTCTAGATAATTAATATATTATATGTCATGTGAACTACTGACCTATTTAATAGGATTTAATTCAAAACTGTTACTCACATGTTCTTACCTGCTGAGCTGTTATGTAATTCTGAAAATCCAGTCAAGTGAGTAACAGTGTTCAGATTTGAGCCACTTGGTCCGAGAATGAAACAAGATGGATGCCAGTGCAGCCAACAACAAGGCACTCTGACACAAAACTGACATAAACATGCCTTTATAACTGTCTGGCTGCAATGTCCAAGACACAATAACTTTTGACTGCCTAGCCAGTGAAGAATAGGCAAGAAGTATGACAAAGCTTTGCCAATACCTTTTTGTTTGCAGAATACAAGAACCCTGAACCGAGAAAATAAGTAGAGGATAGGGCTCCTAGATGTACTGATAATGACTGGATTGTAGGTTGTATTATGTGTATTGCCCATAGACTGAAAAACTGCAGGATTCTTGTTATAGATAAATGCCTGAACTGGTCAGAATGGACACTGATGCTATAAACAATGGGATGGAATTAAGATATAAAAATATTTAAGAACATTTTTTAAGAGCATTTTTTTTCCAATCCTGCTAAAATCCCCATAAGCCCTCCCAAAGAGACAGAACTACAAGAAATATCCATTTCCCAGCTGGGCAAATAAACCTTCATACAACCAATCTCAGGACAGGGGGTCCCCTTTACATTTAGCTCCCTTTAGCTCTTTTGGTCACCAGCGTTCTCCTTTAACATGCAGTATTTTCCCTCTTATCTGTATTTTCTCTCTTATCTGTACTTTCCTTTTATCTGTATTTTCCTCTTATCTGTAAGCTGTTTATAATCACTGTGGAATCAGCAATCTCAAAACTGGGTTAAACAAGTAATAAATAATTAGAAATAAAGACGTTTGCCTGAAACTTGCAGTTAGTGTGACAGGATTCCCATTGACATTTTGGGTTTTGTTGCAAGCAGCTAGGAACTTTTTTTTTCTTTTAAGAAAGTAATAAGGAAAGATTCAAGAACCAAATCAATCTTCATCAGCCAGTAACTTTTTAAATTTGCCATACATGCCTGGGTTCTTTGCTAGTTTTTTTTAAATGTAAACTGCAGTGTAATAGGGAGTCCAAAATAAAGTAAACTAGACAAATAAAATGAAGTTTTTTTCTCTCAATGCAACCTACTTCACAATATATGCAGTGATCCATTGTCAAGCGTGAACCGGCTGTTTTGGAGCAGCTGAGGGGGAAAAAAACAAACAAATGAGGTCTCTGTAAAACTTACCAAGTTATTGCCTTAATTAACCAAAATGGTGAAGTTTCGAGAACAGGCTAACTTGCAAGAGGCATGCAAACCGATCGCTGAAAGATTTAACACTCTCCAGAACTTCCGGGTCCAAAGGTTTTTAGAGGAAGTTTGAGGAAGGAGGGGAAAGGGTAGTAATACTGTGAAAGTTGCAACATTTTCTAAGCAAAAGTTCAAACAAACACTAGGGACACCTAGTGGTCATGAACAGAATACATTTATTTCAACAATAATTCAGTAAAATGTGCAGGTAAGTGGTTCTAGTATTATCACTTACTATGTAAATATGGTATTTGCATTATTTTACATTGTCTTCCAATCAGTGGTGGGATTCAATTTTTTTTTACTACCAGTTCTGTGGGCATGGCTTGGTGAGTGCAGCAGGGGAAGGATACTGTAAAATCTCCAGTCAGAGGTGGTATTTGCTGGTTCTCCGAACTACTCAAAATTTCCCCAGAACTGGTCAGAACCTCCTGAATATCACCTCTGATTCCAATATTTATTTGTAACAGAAACATTTGTGTGTGTGGTTTTGTATGTGGTTATGAGTGCGCTTGCGCACCCCACCCACCCCATTTTTGATCTCTGACAAGTGCTTGGACAAGTACCTGCAGTTTTCTTGGCAAGAGTTTTGGGAAGTAGTTTGTTATTGCCTCATTCTTAGGACTGAAAGTGTGTGACTGGCTCAAGTCACTCAGCTGGCTTTGTGACTAAGAAAGGCTTAAGTCATTTTTTAAAAAGCTCAAATCCAAATAAATATTACAAATTTTAAATATTGTAAAGTAGTCCTAAACAACCCATGCCATCATTTCAGAGATATTTCTTTACCTAAATAGAGACACAGAATGACCACAGCTGGGGGGGAAAATGGGAACAGGAGTGACTTCTAAATTTCTTATGGAAAAATGGCAGGGAATATCAGAATTTCTTTCTTTCTTTCTTTCTTTCTTTCTTTCTTTCTTTCTTTCTTTCCTTCCTTCCTTCCTTCCTTCCTTCCTTCCTTCCTTCCTTCCTTCCTTCCCCTTTCCTTTACCTCCCCCCACATCTTTCCTTCCAGGGTTTCTCCCTCTCTCCCTCCTTCCCTCTCTCTGTCATTCTTATTTTTACAATAATGTTATTAATACTTACAAAGATAAAAGTGAATAAAAACTATTAAAAATATAAAAAGAAAAGTGAAAGGAGGTAGAAAAGAAAAAAATGAAAAGAAGATACATAAAAGTGATTTTTGCCCTCAGACAAGGCTAAACAATTTGGATAATTTAACAGCTTCTCTAATATTTCAATTAAAAAACTATTTTAATCCCATATCTTATCTCTTATCAATAGTCATTACAAAAAAATTAATCTTGCCTATTAAGACCAGGAATATTAACATATATAATTTAATCTTAATAAAAAATTCAATTTATAATCAAACCCTAGCACTTTAATAAATAAAACACTTATAAGTAAATCTTTAAAGCTGTATCATTTAATCTTAGTCCAAAAGAAATTCCATGAACAGCTACCAGAGACCATAACATGTATATTTTAACCCTAATCAAGCAGATCCATTTTATAAATATTCTTGTTATTTTAAAAAGCTTAATATTTAGATCTATTAAGTGGTAACTCACAAATTAATTCATTATCATTTTTCTTTGTCTCCTTCCAAGTACCTGAACAACACCTCTGCCTTTCGTTTCAGAAAGAGTTTCCTTGATTCCATATTCCTTTTATAAATCCAAAATAAGAAAGCTTTCTAAATCACTCTTCCAATTTATTATTTGTATGTCCTCTTTAATTATTAAGACATCAACTGATTTCATTTTTAAATCCATTTTGGCATTATTTTCCATATTGTACTCTGGCACTTTAAAATCTGTTTTCAGATCCACAACATCTTTTTCCCATATCACTTTTATAATTCAATAATTTTAAAACTCCTAATCTATATGCAAATCATTCTCCATCTCTATTTTAGCAAATAAATTCCAGTTCCTCTGCCATACATATCAATCTTGTAAGCAATGTCTGAGTAAGTTGTTTCCAAACAGACGTAATTCAAATAATTTCATACAATAATTTATAATAAATAAATACAAAGTGTTTTGCTTGATATCTTGAAGAACAACTAACAATTGAAATATAAAGTTTTGGGCTTGATGGATAAGTAGGGAAGATTCATACACTGGATTAACTGATGTTATGGCTTATTTGGCTAAGTGTGATATGTGAACCTAGCATAAATTATTCAAGCAATGAAAATTAAACCAAACTTAATACAGTGCATGATCGTAAAATTACTTTTTACTTGCAGATTAGTATTTGGTTTTGATGTGTTGAGTGAGCTGCTATTCGAAATCCAAACAGAGACCTTAAATGGGATGAGTAAGCCAAATCTATACGGAAAGCTTGAAACATTAATTTTTGGATGCTCCAGAAACCAACTATTTTGGAAGAATACTCCAGCTTCCAGTTATAGCTAATGACCACAAAACGAGTATCTGACCTTTTGATTATTTGGACAGCAAGGATGAATCTGTGTTGCTAAAGCTTGCATATTTTGACTTAGGTCTACATTAGGAAATAGGAAATTTTTATTTTACTGTAAATAAGTATTAACACTTGTAGCTTAAGGTTAGAAATGAAAAGTAATACAGTAATAAAATTATCCATTTGGTTCAGAAGGACAGCTGACAGAACAGCACATTGGCAGCCTTTGTGTCCTGCTTTGGCCAGTTCATTATACTGGCTTATCTTAGTTCATAGAGGAAGAGGAGGGAGTAAATCTCAGAGTTCTCTGTTGGTTTGGATGCACCTTTATGCCATTTTTAGAACTTTTATGTATCCCAAGATGCCCGTTTTTACATGTATACAAATTGCCACTGTTTGTGACTGTAAGTATCTGCACACGTTTCTTCTAAAAACTCTCTAATTCATTTGAGTGGGAAGAGTAAACCTTAAATCAAAGGATATTCCATAATGTACCATTATGTTACCACTGCTAGCTTACGTATAATATATTAAGTCTTTAAAACTGTATATATGAATTGCTAGTTGAAATGGGCAGCTATAGAAATTAAATAAATATAATTTTATGTGCATAGTCAAATATTTAAATATACTTATTGTACTTATATATTGCTGTAATAAAGAAATGATTCTCATCAAAATAATTATTGCTATTGAATTTATAAATGTTTTGTAGATACACAAATACCTATCATGCTATTCCCTTTGGGTTAAACAACTTAATCATTAATATCCTTACATATGAGTGAAATAAGAAATAGGTGCTGGAGGCTAAAACATCTGATGAACTGTTACAGGAACTGGGTATGCTTAGTCTAAATTCTGGGTGTTTGGATTTGGGAGTGGAAATGTCCATGTCTTCACATTGGCAGTCTTCATGTCCTGCTTTGGCCAGCTCATTATACTGGTAGGATAGCTGATGACTGGCAGGTCATATGTGTTCATGGCAAGGATCTTCACTGACTGTCTCTTCAGGACTTGTCTTATTCTTTGGTGGTGGTCGTAGTTGTCTTCCTTGCTTCCTCATCCTGGTTCCTACATGGTTGTGGGATACCAAAGTACTTGTAGCTGGTCTGTTATGTGACTCACTGGTAGTTTCACTCTATTACTCCTAACAACTTTCCCTCTCGACTCCCATCCTGCCACTTTTTTCCAGTCTGAATGACATCCAGGTGCTCTTACTGTAGATCCCAGTCAGGTAGATCAACAGGTCGATGTCTTCTTCACTCTTTGCATACAGCTTAATGTCATCTGTGTAGAAGAGGTGGTTGATGGTAGTTCCACTCTTGAACTTGTGTCTGTATCCGATCCTTGTAATTATCTAGCTGAGTGGGTTCAAGCCTATACTGAATAGCAGCAGGGACAGTGTATTACCTTGGTATATGCCATACTTAATGGACACTTATGGTGTTACCTTGAACTGACTTCCAAAGTTGTCTTCCACACCCTTTCTTGAGGAAGGTCAAATAAGAGACTAACAGAATTAGAAGGGACCTTGGAAGTCTTCTAGTCCAAACCCCTGCTCAAGCAGGAGACCTATACGAATCCAGACAAGTGGTTTTTAGAGCTGCAGTAATGCAGTGGTTAGAATGCAGTACTGCAGGCTACTTCTGCTGATCACTGGCTGCCAGCTGTTTGGCAGTTCGGGTCTCACCAGCTCAAGGTTGACTTAGCCTTCCATCCTTCCGAGGTCAGTAAAATCAGGGCCCAGATTGCTGGGGGCAATATGCTGACTGCTTAGACAGGGCTGTAAAAAGCACTGTGAAGCAGTATATAAGTCGAAGTGCTATTGCTATTGCTAAGTGGTTGTCCAATCTCTTCTTAAAAACCTCCAGTGATGGAACCCACAACTTCAGATGGCAAGCTGCTAGTTTTAACTATCACGAAATTTCTTATTTCTAGCTGTGTTCTCTCCCTGATTAGGTTCCATCCATTGCTCCTTGTTCTGCCTTCAGGTGCTTTGGAGAATAGGTTGACTCCCTTAGATATTGGAACACTGCTCTCATGTCACCTCTTGTCCTTCTTTTCATTAAACTACACATACCCAATTCCTGCAACAGTTCTTCACATGTTTTAGCCTCCAGTCCCCTAATCAACTTTGTTGCTTCTCTCTGCACTCTTTCTGGAGTCTTGACATCTTTTTTTTATATATTATGGTGACCAAAACTGGATGCAATATTCCAAGTGTGGTCTTATCAAGACATTATAAAATGGCACTAACACTTCATATGATCTTGATTCTGTTAATCCAGTTTAGGACTATAGCAGCTGCAGCATACTGCCAGCAAGTAGGTCCTCAGTATCCTGTTGACTTTGTATAATCACAGAACCATGTGTGTGGCACTGAGGCATGAACTTTCTGGTAGTCAGTCCATGCTGTGCTCAAAGTCCAAATGTCTCAAAACTGATAAATTGACAAACACTGCACCAGATATTCTCTTTATCTGAACCAACTTAGTTCTTGTGGCTTAATTTATAAATACTTATAGATATCCAAACTTGGTGCCAGGTTAAGCTCATTCTGTGTTTTTTTCAGTTATGTTTGAAGAACAGCTTGTATTGTTAGTCCTTCTTTCTTGCGTGGTGCAAAGCACAAGTTAAGAATTACGTGATTATTTTTTTTTTGAGTGAAAGAGAAAAAGACTATCTTGTGTTTCTTGTCAAAGGAAGAAAAAAAGAAGCAATTGGTTGGGAAATTTGTATTGCATAAAACTTTTAGTCAATCATATACTGGCGTTTAGGGCAGGTTTCATCAAAACAAATAGATTGGGTTAATATCAGAAATTACTGGCAATCTATCTTTACTATTAGCTTATCTATGCCTTTTCTGCCAACAAGCATAGAAGCAACATTTTCAGTAACCAAGTCAGGCTTTGATCTGATGACTAAGAAAATTCCAGGGGGAAAAAGAGTTATACTAAGAGCAGCTCCTTTTTTCCATTGCAATATCTCATTAAAATTGTTCAAGTTTTCCTTGGGGAATACTATTCCTTACTATACATCAAAACTCGAAAATAACATCAACACCTGCTAAGCATCTGAACAAAATAGAAACAAACAGTCTCTTCCCATTTCTCTCAGTAACAAAAATACCTATGGCACAAAACTGGCCTGGATTTGTGCTGAATTAGAAAAGGTTCAAACTGCACTAACAGTATTTTGTGGCCTTGTATCTATTTACAAATAGGTTGAATTTGCTTATCACAATGAGCCATTATTGTATCTTAAATAATCACAATTGGTTAGAACTATATTTCGATACCCTACTTTACGCTGCATCTAGTGATCATGTTAATTTTGCAGCTGCAATCTGATTGCTGTAAACAAACCTTATTACATATGGTTTTAGCCTGATGTGAAAAAAACAGCCATACAAAGACTGAGTGGAAGTGGAGATACAACCTAAACACATACTAAGCAGCCAATATTCACCATCTGCACATTCATTTTCCCCAAACAATGTTTTTTCTGGTGTGAACAGTTTGTTCATACAACATGCTGAATATGATTTACTTTTGGCTTTGTGTATTGCATGAAACCTGCCACCATGATTTTAAGCCATCGCTTTGTGTATGTGCGCGCGCGTGTGTGAATAGCACACTATGCTTTTTGAACAAACCATGGCTTAGCATAATTTATTGATTAGGTTTCGATCAGAGGGCAGTGCGCATTCTTTGCTTGGCAGTGCACAGGTGAGTTTGGATTTCTATTCTGATAGCCCCTTACCCAGCCTACATTGGAAAGAGCATGATTATCGTTGGGGATAATGGGTGTCTGAAGTTCAAAAACTTGGAAAACCAGAAGGAGCCTGACCAGAAAAGGTCAGGCTCCTTCATAAAATGGAGGGGCATAAACGGAGAACAAGTATGGGAATAGATTGCTCCTTCCCGTTTGGGTCCCCCTTATCTTAGAGCAGCGACCCCCAACCTTTTGGGCGCGAGGCACCAGTTCCGTGGAGGGAGATGATTTCGCGCGCTGCTTGTTCGGGGCTTCTTTGCGTGGCCCGGTTTCTGGCATGCCTAGGGCCTGGGGCTGGGGACCTCCGCCTTAAGAGTCTCGCTCCTCTAATTTAAATAAAGTGCCCTGAATTTTCCTCGCCTCAAACGCGAAAGCGCTCCCATCCCGCCCGCTGCCAAATCAGGCGAGGGGTCGGGGGACTCTCTGGGAGGAGGTGCGAAGGGTCCGAGGAAGACACAAGGACCAGCCTCCCACGCGGACAGACCCCCCCCTCCCCCTCATCCCTTCAGCCGCGCCTCCCGATCCTGGACGGGTGGCAGGGCTCCCCTTGGCCGCTAGATGGGGCCCGGCGCGTAGAGGCGGGGAGCCGGGCTGGCGGGTCGCGGAGGGAAAGAGTTCGCGTCACCAGCTCGCGCAGCGCCCGCTCGTGGGGGGGGGCGGGGGAAGAAGCGAGAGCGAGAGAGAAGACGCAGCGGCTGCGAAGCGCAGGTACTGTCGGCCGGCCAGTCGGCCTGCCCTGCGGAGGGAGGAGCGTTTTGTTCCCACGGCGTCTCGCTCGGTTCGCAGGGTCCATGACCGGCGGCTGACAAAGGCCCTCCCGCCTTGGGCGGGCCGGGGAAAGACGCTTGGGGAGGGTGGCTGTCGGCCTATGTGCGCCCTTCCCTCCCGGGGAGGGATTCGTGCCTCGCCTGGGTAGTCGGGAAGAATTTGCGGGAGTCCCTTCCCGGCCTACCGAAGTTTTCGTGGCAGAGATTAATGCTCGGTTGCGCGCGTGTTGCATGTCAGGTCATTTTGCGAGAAGCGCGCGGTCAAAGGGGGAAAACAGCCGGCATTTTTTTTTTTTTTACGGTTCCCCTTGAAACCGAGGCTGGTTGTTGCCCTCCTCCAGTTCCCAGTGTAAAAGGTGGTGTTTTGGGGTTTTTTTTTTGTTTTTTTTCCCCCATGGGCCGAGGTGCCGGGCGTGGGAGTAGAGCGGGAGCCCGACAGGTGCGTCGGTCTCCCGCCTAGGAGAACCTTCGAAACGGGAGGAGAGAAATAAGAGGTTGACGCGTTAGGGCTCTTGGAAGTGCCTGAAACATGGGAGGTTGGGATTTTGAAAGGCTTGCTGGGTCAATGGAAGAAGTCTGTGGGGAGTTAGAGAGAGGGAGAAGATGGTTGTCGACTGTGAAACTCTTGCTTGCTCTCATAGGCCTTGGTGAATTTGTAAGCGCCCAGTAAAATTTATATTTTCCCACCCCATTAAACAATGCCTTTCTCTCACAGTTACATACCAGTGCAACTGCTTGAATAGAAACAGGGTTTGTATGAGTAGGTGTGCGCAGTCTGAGGTTAAAACAAATATCACCTGGTAAACAAGGGTGTGTCCTCCTATACTTAAACCAAGCAAAGGCAGTAGAAAGCTTCAGTTTGTCTCAGCAGGAATGGTGCTGCTTCTGCTATTTTCTGCATACATGTGTCTGTTCTGAGTGGGAATTAACTAATAGCTCCAAAGAATCCAAAAAGGAAGTCGAAGAAAGGTTATGATGGATCTTAGAAGAATTCACGATGCGGACTTCTCTCCTCATGTGGCAAATTCCGTTCAGGAGCTGTTGGAGCAAATAATAGCAGAACGCGATGCCTTATGCCAGGCCTTGGCATCTCTCAAGGCTGGTTTAGCAAAGCTTGAGAAACGCCTGGAAGACACAGATCACCGCGTGGGAGCCCTGGAAGCAAAGATGGTATCTACTCAAGGCTGCGTTGTCAAACATGCTACTTTAATGAAGGAATTGGCAGTAGGAAAGTTGGTGGCTGACTACAAGCTGGAGACACTAGAAAACAAATTGCGAGCTCGGAACTTAAGGGTCACAGGTATCCCAGCAGCCATTAGAAATGTGAACCTTATCCCATTCATAGAAAATCTGTTACCGGCTGCCTTAGATTTAAATGACAAACAGGTTCCCATCTGTATAGAAAGTGCTTACCGTCTTCCAGCAAATAATGCCCAGGTGGGTAAAGGTAGTACTGTATTAATCACTCTTTCTGATTTGCGGCATCGGGAGAAAATACTGAAGACATTCTGGACAACAAACTTCCATGGACACAAGATATCCTTCTTTCCTGATCTCAGCCCACTGACATATGCCCGACGGAAACATTTTGTGGCTCTCAAGCAACAGTTCCTAAAGGAAGGAGTTCAGGCCTATGTATTGTACCCTTCAAAGTTAAAGGTTCTGTACCAGGAGAAAATGTACATCTTCAAGGACATTCAGTCTGCAGATCACCTACTAGATGAAATCCGAAAAGGTAAATGGAGAAAAATTAGTACAGACTTGAGAAGAAAGCTTTGCTCCTTTTGGGTATAGTACTGACAGGATTACTTTTGAAATCTTTGACTGTTATTTTGAAGTAAGGATAATGAATAGTAGCAGATTCAGTGGAATGAAATCTAGTTTAGGTGTGCCATAATATGCAGGCATGCAAACCAAGGTTTCACTTCAGACAGTGATATCCTGAGACACTGGGAAAAGCTTGTAATCTTGGAAGGCCTTCATCTTCCTCAGCACACATTGCATATGCCTGAATAGGCAAATACCAATATATGACTTAAGGTCTTTAACGGAATCTATTCAATGAAAGAGAGGTGTCTTGATTCCTTTTGAGTTTACTTCCTCAGTGATTCTTTTATCTCTTATTAGTAAGCATAAAAGGTTGAGAGGTATTTTTATACTCATTGCAAGATTCTGCTATTGATACAGTGGTGGAAAAGGTGCTTTCAACCGTTGTAATCAACTAGAGAATTACAACATTTACAAGAGGGTTGTTTTTTTTTTGCTTTAAGTACCCAAATTCTACCATATTTACAAAGGATTTTGAAATGGCATTCTGCTAGCAAAGATTTGTTTGCATTACTGTGTTTTCAAGTATACAGAACTCTTATAGCCTACAGTGCTAGAAAATAATGGACTGGTGTTTCTTCTTTGCATACATACTCAACTTTGTCTGCAAATGGGCTTTGCCTAAAACTGATTTTATGAAATATTTACCAAGTTTGTACATAATAAGCATAATGATTAGTTTGCTATGATTTTTAAAAATACATTTTCCTCACTGATAATTTCTTCAAAGATGTATGGCCATTCTTGCAGTATATTTTTCACCATTTAGTTACCCAATTGTTGTTATAGAACCAAGCAGGAATTGCTTTCAGAGTCCATCTTTTAATGGCAACCTCACTTGTGGGATTTGGCAAATTCATCTAGGACAAGTAACAAAGTCACAAAGCTGCATACTCAACTTTTGTGTAGATGTAGATCAGTATGTTTAGGAGATCTGGAAAATAATTCATCTCCCGATTGTATTGATGATGGGATATATTAATAATTAGCCTGGTTATTGCTTACATCTGTCCTGGCTGATTCTAAAAGGGTGGGAAAACTATTTTAAATCTGCTGTGCATCAAAATGATGAATTCTGAACTATTTGAATACAAAACCCCAATTATTGTGAGGTCAGCTAGAAGAAGGGGTACCTAAATATTTACCTAAGGCAATCTCACGTACTGGAAACTGAATTATTTTCCTTAAAATCACAGAAATAATTGTTCCTTTGTAAGCACTTTTGCATGGATATTTATAATCTGGGTGAGATATTTGACAGCTTTCCTTTCACTTTTGAAAGTGAAATTTGCTCTGTTAGTAAAAAGTTTAATACAGTATATTTTTTATGGGAAAAGGCCATAGACTGCACTATTTGTGAATTGAATCTACCGTATATACTCGAGTATAAGTCGACCCGAATATAAGCCGAGGCACCTAATTTTGCCACAAAAAACTGGGAAAACTTATTGACTCGAGTATAAGCCGAGTTTTTCAGCACATTTTTTGTGCTGAAAAAAAACCCCTCGGCTTATACTCGAGTGAGATTCCCTCTGAAAGAAAAATGGTATGGAGCTCCGGAGCTGGGCAGCCGCTTCCCTGCTTCCGTGTTTCCTTTGCAACTTGTAAGCATGGGGGTAATCGGAAGCAGAAAAGTTCTTGCATGAGGATATATTGTTTTTTCTTTTTTTAACTTGCCACCGTCATGTGAGAATGCTCAGACAATGCTTCAGTCCGCTCGGGAGGAGGAGGAGGTGGTGGCGGCGGCCGCTCGTGTTTTCTGAGCGAGGGAGCGAGGACAGACGGAGTCCGCGAAGCGGGGCTTGCCTGCCCTTGCTGGCTGCCTCTGCTTTCTTAGGGGCGGGGAAGGGGGCTCATCTGGACCAAGGGTGAGTCCCCCCCTCAGTTTCCCCTGAAGGATCTTCCGTCGCTTTTGCCTTCTCCCTATGTCTTCCCTCTGTTAAAATCCCCCCACACACACTTATTTTCAGGCAGATAGATTTTGTGTCTGAGCATTCTCACATGACGGTGGGTCTTTCCCACCCCCTAAAAACAGTTAAAAAAAGAAAAAACAGTATATCCTCATGCAAGAACTTTTCTGCTTCCAATTATCCCCATGCTTACAAGTTGCAAAGGAAACACGGAAGCAGGGAAGCGGCTGCCCAGCTCCGGAGCTCCATACCATTTTTTTTTTCAGAGGGAATCTCACTCGAGTATAAGCCGAGGGGTTTTTTTTCAGCACAAAAAATGTGCTGAAAAGCTCGGCTTATACTCGAGTATATACGGTAATTATCTTTTGTGTTTGGATAAAGGCCTAATGTGACATGTTGGACATAGGTATAATTAACAAAGATTGAAAGAAAAACTCAGAGGAGGAGCAAAACCTAAGGGTTTAGAAGGAAAGGATGGGCAAATGTTTTTCAAAACCTGGTCTGATGTGTAGCACCAATATCGGAGACATAGCCATTTTAATTCTGTACTGAGTAAACTTAGCAGAATTTTGTTTCAGTAGCAAAATAAAAGAAAAGACAGATCTTTTTGAGCTTCAGTGAGGCCTAAGTAGTTTAGAGAAAGGAAAGTATAGTAAAGTAGGAATCTTCCTTCCTGTAGATATGGGTAGGTCTTAAAACTGTAAAGGAGACAAGGGAAAATAGTTGCTGTTTTATATTTAAGATTTATTTCATATTCTTGTACTAAAATTGTTTTCACTGGCATGGATATGCAGAAAGTAAGTATTGGCAATAAATAGTAGAATGCATTTCTCTTTAAATCAGCCAGCTGATAAAAACATCAACCATTATAGGAAATGAGACAATTTCTACAACTACCTTCTGATTATGAATTGGATCCTACTAATACAACTTCTGGGCTTTAGAGATCATTTGTGCAAGGCGGGTAGAAATATCCCACCTTCCAAACGATTTATAGCTTATACTTACTTGCCAAAGAGAAAGGTGGGATTTGATGTTGGCAGCTGTTTTTGTCTATTGCCATTGAGTACCAGGAAAAAGAACAGGCAGGTGGGATACATGAAATGACACAGATGGGCTTTTAAAAATTATTTTTATCCTGCCCTTTTCATATACAACTCAAGGCAGCAAATTTACCAGTACTCTTTCCTTCGCTATTTTTCCCACAACCACAACCCTGTGAGGTGAGTTGGGCTGAGAGAAAATGGCTGGCCCAAAGTCACCTAGCCGGTTTTCCTGTCTAAGTTGGGACTAGAAGTCAGAGTCTCCTGTGGCCCTGACCTATCCACACTATACCAAACTGGTTCTAGTTTATAGTTTGTATATACCCTCTACTTTCTCCATCTTTAAAATGATGTACTTAGTTCTATAATTAGTTCTGCATGCAATTTGATTCTTGTACTAGCCCTTGGTTGCTGATCAGAATCACCAAGTAATCTTAATGGTTGAGTGTGGATTTTAATCTGGCTTTCTCCAATCATACTCCAACATTCTTAACTTTTACATCCCAGAAGCCCTGGTGATTGCCTATATTTTTCCAAAGCTGATTATTGCTTAAAAAAGAAATTTGAATCTTAAATAGCAATTCAATATGGCACTGTTATTGAGGCGTACCAATCGTTTTAATTCTTAACCCTAAGTCATACTGTACAGTGCTACCCACCATCTCCAAATTCAGTGGTTACAACGGAGATTGAAAGATTTAAGGCCTGGTTTAAGGACAAGTTAACATAGCTAACAATAAGCAAGATGAACTTGAAATATGATTATCCTAATTACTCAACCATAAATTTGATTTCTTGTATCAAATAAAGCCATAATTATTTCCCTCCCTCCTCAAAAAAGGCATAAAGGTTGAGGAGGAAAGAAAACATGTCTTATACACCAGGGGTCTCCAACCTTGGAAACTTTAAGTCTTGTGGACTTCAACTCCCAGAATTCCTCGGCCAGCAAAGCTACAGCAGTAATCCTGCAGTTTTGTGGTGTATGGTATTTGTTAGCTCATTGCCTTACCATAGCAAGCTCTCTGATCCTAGTGGATCTTTTTTTTTTCTTTCAAATCATTTCAGAAAAGATGACTATGACTTTGATCCGCAACAGGCTGGCGCTGCTGGTCCTAGGAATCCTTGTCACTTTTGTCCTCTACCTGTTGCTTCCTGCAATCCAGCATGAAAAATTTACTGCTTCAGTAGACATCCCTAAACCACGGGCCATGGAGGAAGAGGTGAAGAATGCTGGAAATGTCACCATCGCAACAGGGACAATTTTGCACTCTTCCGTTTTCTTCAGAGAAGCTGTGTTGGTACAAAAAGATGTGGCTTCCTCCACTGAAAGGTAAGTTACCTTCCTGATTTTTGAGACTTCAAAGAGTTAAATCTCCTTCACATAACAAATAACACTCAAGCATCTGTTATCTATTCTAATAGTACATAGAAACATTACCTTGAGTTTGAGCTACTGGCAGCCATTCTGGTTGGTTTAAAGAGTACCAAAAGTATGATGAATATTGGGTGACTTAGTTTTTAAAGTGAATCATTCTCTTGAATGGTTGATTTATTTTGCTCCAGTAAAAGTTACCGTTTTGGTATTACTGTATTTCAGTGAACAGATGATGAAATATATATTTACTGATCTATTTTCCTTGGCACTTCCTAGATGGATGTCATATTACTCATTTGATTCTTAAACTGCTCCTATTTCTTAAACTGCTCCTATTTCTTAAACTGCTCCTATTTCTCCACGACCGTGTAGCTTTCAAAAAAAACAATTATTATTTGTAACTAGATCCTGGATCCATAGAGAGAATACAGCTTATTTCTCGCAGTGTGCAGAGTAATTCAGCATTGGTAATCCATGGCTGAATCATGCTTGCTGATGCTGGAATTTTCTTTTCTACTGTGCATTTGTTGTGTTAATCTGTGGCTTTTTGGGGGTATAAAGTAAGAGAAAGAACTACTACTCGGATATTGCAAGGGGCCTAAATACATTTTTCTCATCACATTTGCCACAAAGCAATCTCATTTTCTAAGTTTGTAAAAGCATCACTTTTCATCTATAAAAAATGGCTTTCTCTTAATTTGCAATTATTTGTAATTAAGAGCGTCAAATGTTTTGTCTACTCTATGACTGCCATACACTTCTATTATTAAGTGATTATTGTAATTATCCAAGAATATGTTTTCTATTTGATAATTTGAGTATTTCCTTCTGTACTGGTATCTGGTGTATAACCTTGTAAAGATTGGAAAATAATTATTGCAAAGATTGCCAAATATCTCATTTCTTTAATAATATCCCATGTTGTTTTATGAACTCTTTTTCAAATCTTCAAATTGTTTGAGATTAGTCTTCTTTAACGATGGGAATTGGATGTATTGAAATAATCATTACCAGTTCTCTACTGATTGTATTGCAACGTATCTGATGTATTGCAACATATCCACCAAGCAATATTGTCATAAACAATGGAATAGACTTCTATTTTCCCCACCTGTATATATTCATTACACTGCTCATGTATCTCATGTAACTTTCCCCAACCACACTTCAGGCAAGTGTTACTTTGGTGCTAAAAAAAACTCCCAATTTTCTTAATTTTCCTGAAAGATATTTGGTGTTTTGAAATGATCTTTTTTTTTCTTTTCCTTTTTTGAGATTAGTTTAGGGATTTTGTTTTACTGTGTAAATAAAATATTGTGGGACTTAAGTATATTTATACATATCAGAATACTAAAAAAAGATGAAATTAGCTGCTAGTTCTTTTTCTTAACAGGCTGGCAGTGATCTTCTTGCATGGCCAGTCCTTCACATCCAAGACATGGGAGACTCTAGGAACACTGGCTTTGCTTGCAGAGAATGGCTATCGTGCAGTGGCTATTGATTTGCCTGGTAAGAGTAAGCAGTGAAACCATTGTTTTTAAAAAACCATTTTGACTTTTCAGTTTTGGCTTCATTTTTTCTTATGGGTTGATATTCAGTAATAATATACATTTCTGGGGGGCTTGCTTTGGAAAACATTTTGGATGAGGGTAGCAAACCAAAGTAGAGGGATGAGCATTATTTAGTCAATCATTTCCATCTGCATGTTTCATTGGCAGTAATCCCTCTGCCTCTCTCTGGAGTAAATGCCAGCAGTTGTAGGGGCTCTTGTAATGTGTCTGTTCTATTTTCATATCAGGGAGAATGTAATTTATTACTTAATAAGGGGAAAAAGTTATTGGAATCTGTTAAGTAGAAGGGTGGCATGCACTGAAGATTTCATTGCCAAATATATTTGCCAGTTTTATTTCCCCTTTCAAATACTTTTGTATTTTTTTATTTCCTGGAGAAAAATGTTTGGTTTGTGTTTGTTTAGCATCCCACTCCCCACCTCAAGTCTTTTTAGCTCCCATTCTAATAGTTTTGAAAAGTCCCTAAAAACCTGGCTCTTCTACGCTTTGGGAATAAGGTGACTATTGAGTACGTTTTGTACAGTGCTTGGAATTTGTGTCCTTGTTTTTTATTCTTTATAATAATGTAAGCCTCAATGTCTCTCTGGAGTTGGATAGCCTTAAGTCTAAAGAAAAGCATAAATACGAAAACATTAATAGCTTTAAAATCAAAATTAACAGCAATTAAACAGAAGGTTAAAACTAAAAACACTGGGTAGGCTTTTGTCTCTCATTCATTCAGCCACCTCCAGTATAGTGCACCCCCATCAGGGTTCCAAGTCAACCAGCAGAGCCAGGTTTTAAAGCCATTCTAGAAGACCAGAGGATTGGAGGAGGATCTCACCCCTGGAAGCAAGATGTTCCAAAGGCCAGAGTTATAACTATCACTTTGGAGGACTAATTTATAAAAGTTTAGCTTGCATTATAAATGATTTATATTTTAGAAGAATTTCTAATGGCCGTTGCTATAGGGTGAGGAAAATTGCTTAACTAGTCAAAAGAAAGCCAGAAGTAATAGGCTGTAGAGATTGCTGGGATAACTGCATAGCCATGTAGTTTTTTCTCTTTGAGAATACTTTGACCTCTGCAAAAATTCAGTGCTGTATTTTATTGCATATTTCAGTCTCACAGGAGTGCGTAGTAGAACTTAAACATGCTTTAAATAAATAATGCTACTTTGAAAGGACATAAATTTGTCACAGCTTCTCTTAAGTTATATTTGACTAGAGGATCAGAAAGAAGAGCCAAGTTTTCCCTTGAAAGTTGGAGAATAGTGGTACATTGCTGGTTATGACAGTCTTTTTGAACCTGGTACCCTCCAGATCTGTGGCCTGAGGAATTCTAGGAGCTGTAATTTCAGCATATCTGGAGGGAGGTTAAAAAAAAAGGTCCTCTGCTATAAAGATCAGAATGATATGCATTAAAACGGGTGTCAAACTCAAGGCAGCCCGCGAGGTGCTTAGATCTGGCCTGCAGGCCCACCCTGGAAATAGCAAAGGACTGGCCCGTGGTGTCTCTGCCAGCGAAAACGGAGTTTGGGTGGGTCATGCACAGTCCTTTTGGACCCCGTTTTCAACCACGATAGCCTCCTGCAATCCTTTGCCAGCAAAAACAGCTTGGGGAGGCTGCATGCAGCCCGCCTGGCTCCGTTACCCCTAGCAGAGGGCTGCAGGAGACTGTTGTGGCCAAAACCAGAGCCAATGTGGGCCACACATGCCTCCACGGGCTCTGTTTTTGCTGGGAGGCAGGAGGCCGTCATGGCCGAAAACAGCCTCATTGAGTGATGAGCTGGCCACGCCCACCCTGGCCACGTGGCCCTGCCCCTCCAAGGTCAAACAGAAGTGGCCCTCAATGAAAATGTGTTTGACACTCCTGAATTAGAATACATGTCTTGATTTCTAGATTTGGTATCAATGACTAAAGCTATTAATTATAATTGTTTTAATGATTCTCATTGTTTGCTTAAAATTATTACCCAATTCTATTTATTGTAGTTGTTCCAATTTTTGTTTGTTTCTGAACAGGTTATGGGAGCTCCCCACGTTCCGCCTCTGTCGGGACCGCAAAAGGCCGCATTTCCTTTCTGGAGCAAGTCTTCAAGGACCTGGGTCTTCAGAAGCCCATTTTGATCAGCTCATCTATGAGTGGCCGATATTCCATTCCATTTCTCTTTTCTAGTGGAGAACAGCTAAAGGGCTTTGTGTCTATTGCACCAGTGGGTACAAAAGATTTTACAGCTCAACAATATCAGCAGCTCGAGGTAAGAGATCAATGGACTGGAAAAGCTAATTATATTTATTTGCATGGAAGAAGACATCTCTCTTCCCAAAGCAGGGGGGAAAGTCTCTTAGTGAATCTAAGAGGATCTTCTATTTTAAAGACAAATGATTTGAGAAAAAAATACATATATTCATTTCAAGCAAATACAATTCATTTGATTTAATATAAACTTTAATTCCATTAAATCAGTGTGGCCTTTTTCAATATATGTAACCCTTATTTCCTAACATCCCAAGGAAATAGTCACTCTTGGGTTGTGGGCTGTGTGAGTTACAGATGTTTTGCAGCAACATGTGTCTCCCTGGGAATGCAGACAGTACAGTTCCTGGTCTAGAGTTTATTAAGAAAAGATGTTTTAAATTTTCCTTGTGATTTTAGTAAGGAAGTGGAACGGGGGTGAACAGAACCTTTCAAGGACACATATACGGGGTGTAGAATCTGATGTCTGGCATAGAGGGCTTTTTATACAAACTCATAGGGCCCCATAATATAGATGTCTCAGGTATGTTGAATTGCAGAAATAGGAAAGAGAGACAGAACTTGGAGAAAGTTGTGTAGACAGTGATGCCAGGAAGGACAATCTCTCTAGTTTTATATGCCTGAAAGAAGCTGGGGGAAAGAAGTTCTACTATGCAGATATTAGGTAGCATGATCATTCTGTCAGTATGGTATAGACCAGTCTTTCCCAAACTTTATAGCCTGGTGAAATCCGTGAAGTAATTTCAGGCCTCAGGGAACTTGTGCATAAAAATGGTAAAAAAGACCAAACAACCAAGATCACAATACAATTTTCTTCTAACCCACACAATCCTCATTTTACACTCTTCCCAACAACAGTAAAGCAATAGGCCAGCAGCTAGGATGCAGGATGTAAAATTTCCTTCCCAGTGAGCACCAGCAGTGTACAAAATATGTAATAAAAAATACATTTTTTTTCATTTATGACCTCTTTTGGAACCCCACTTAAGAAAGACTGTTCTAGACACTTGCTGGATTTGTACAGTTCTCCTTATGACAGATATAGCAAGTATGTGTTAATGGTGCACATAGGATTGCAGTACTCCAAATATCATTTCATCACCAATCCCTACCATTTATTTCTTTTTATTCCTGCCATGGCAGCTGCCCTTTGGAGCATCATGCCTCCTGAGATTAAATTGTCCCTGTCGGCCTTTTGTAAGATCTTGAGAACTTGCCTTTGTGCCTAAGCACAGGTTATAGTTTATCTCCAGGTTATATGGATGATAGATTAGACGGTGCCTGGCTGCTGTGTGTGTGGTTTTTTTTCCATTTCTCATGTTTTGCTTTATTCTAAGCTGCTTAGAGTGTAAAAGATGGTCTATATGCATTGCATAACTAAAATACAGATGGAAATCAATACCCTTTGAAGATCCTTATGTTCTGTCCCTTGATGTGGGTAGCCAAGAGCAACTGGACGAAGGGCCCATAATAATTGAAGATCCCATCTTCTAGAATTGATAGAATAATTGGCCCTTTTTATCTGCTGTGTTAATGTCAGTCTTGGGAGTACTGCAGGCAAGATGTCTGCAGAGTACTAGCTCTAACTTTTATTTTAAAGTTATATTAACAGAATCTTGAGAGTCCGAAGGTACAGTACATCTCTTCCCACCTCACTTTGCCAATCTAAGAAACTAGGAAAGGTGCCTTCTGACATGTTTGCCACACCCTCATTGCTTCCATGGATTTAGCTGCTATTTGTCTGACCGTTGAATAGTTTGCAGTTCTTCCTCCTGTCTCCCAAGGTCATTCCCATGCAGTAGACCAGGGGTCCCCAAATTTGGCAGCTTTAAGACTTGTGGACTTCAATTCCAAGAATTCTCTAGCCGGCTATGCTAGCCACCTATGCTGGCTAGAGAATTCTGGGAGTTGAAGTCCACAAGTCTTAAAGTTGCCAAGTTTGGAGACCTCTGCAGTAGACCATTGTATCCAGATTCCGATCACTGTCTCAAGTGCTTCTTTTGGAAAGGGCATCTAGATATGTTATGCTGATGTATTTTACAGGGCCTTTTTGCAAGTTGCATGGAAAAGAATGGCAATTGTTTAGCAGTGACTGGGAAGTGATGTTAGTGTTAATTTACATAATTCTTGTGGACCATTGCTCATTTATTTATGTTTTAATGTTTCTAGATACCAACATTGATAATTTATGGACAGCGTGATACTGACTTGGGTGTACAGTCTCTGCAAAATCTTCAGCAGATTCCCAGATCCAGAGTTGTCATGTTGTTGGGAGCTGGCCATGCCTGCTATCTTGATAAACCTCAGGAGTTCCACAAAGCACTGCTGAGCTTCCTCAGTGAGTTGAAATGACTGTGGTATCCCTTCTCAGTTGCTCTACTGAATCTCATTTTCCTTTTCCCAGGGAAAAAGTGAAGACTGAATGTCTGTTACATAACCTGGATATGATGTGCATATAAATCTGGTTCTTTATACTTCAAGGGCTATAGAGCTTGACTGTTGATAGAAGAATTTATCTCTACTTTTTTGTGGGGTTATTTCTTTTACAAGTGCTCAAGGTATAGTTGCCAGAATCCTACAAACTGGCAGAAGTATTGGATCAAGGGCATACAAAGCAAGGTAGCATTTTCACAACATGCTTGAAAAGACTGAAGAACTTGGATCTGCACATCACTATTTGATATTCATTCCTTTTAAGAACTGATCTCTCCAGCGAAAGGTACAACCTCTACTCTAATATCTTATTTCAGGAACCTGGGCCACAGATATTATCTCAAGATTGATAATTTTTTTCATTAACTACCATCTACTACTTTTAGTGTGCATACTTCTGTTTTGAGTGTGTTTTCTTGTACTTTTTATCTTAATTCTACTGTTGTGGTTTGGAGGGTCTGCTTCAGTTTTTTTTAGCAGTGGAAGGAGACAAAATTGATGTGCTTGTCCTTGCTAGGAGCAGGTAATATTTGAAATTGCCCAACAGACATTTGGGAAATCTGAAGAAAAACATTAGGGGAAAAAATGACACATTTTAAAGTGTATTTTTCCTTTAACATTGATGACCATTGTAATCCATTGGTTGCCCAGCTGTAACATGCTGACTCTCTGTGAATGAAGTAGTTAGAATGTGTCATCCAGACTCACCTGATAAGGAGAATATGGAAGACATAAGGAGAATGAGTCAACCTTTTGGAGAAGCATACTCCACATGTTAGGAGGGGAATAATTTTTCCTACTCATTAGGTCATACATTATCTAGGTTTTTGAGTGTTGCAAACTGTTTAAGGGTTAATAAATTGTTTATACTGGTATTTGGTGTATGTGTCTATGTGTCTATGTGCAAACAATACAATGCTGGACAGAGACTATGCTAGAGATCAAGCTATGAAGTCATGGCTGATAGCTTAGAACATTGACTTGTTAAAGCCTTATGGCAGGGCGTGTCAAACTCAAGGCCCTTGGGCCAGATCCGGCCCATGGGGTGCTTAGATCTGACCTATGGGGCTGCCCTGGAAACAGTGAAGGACCAGCCCATGGTGCCTCTGCCAATGAAAACTGTTTTTGCTGGCAGAGGGTTGCAGGAGGTCGTCACAGCCCAAAACAGACCTCAGGAGTCCGTTTTTGCTGGCAGAGCGCTCAAGCGCCCCTAACACAAGTGACGCTGAGTTGGCCATGCCCATCCTGGCCCACGTCCCATGCCCCCACCCCCCCGAGGTCAAACACAACCCTGATGCAGCCCTCAATAAAATCAAGTTTGACCCCCATGCCTTATGGAATAAGATTCTATGTTTGGTATTTTATTTATAATCTATAATAAGAACTATGCCCATGATTACCTACCTACCTATAATCTAATTTTGTATTTTCCAAACAGGTTTTCCAACTTTAATGCACAGACTCTTACTTTGAGTTTTCACTCAATTACTAAATTCCCTCTAAATACGTTCAAGTGAGTTTCTTTATATATTCTGTTCCACACTGAATTACTAGGGTATTTTCAGTCATTAGATGAATAAGAAAAAATGATAATTCATTTTCTTCCATCATAAATGAAGCTAAGAACTTCTGCTTTCTTGTGATTTCAAAACAAAGTTATGAATTTATTAGAAGAGATTAAACTTTTGTCTGAATTCTGGTATTCAGAAGTTTCTAATTTCTTGTTTAAGAGGTTTGAGGGTTTTGTAGCTTATCTTGATGAATGATAACTTTAGAGTAGAACAGAAAGTTTGTAAATGTATGTTCCTTCTAGCTACCTTTTGAAACTAAATGCTAGAGTGAAAATACCTGATACATTCTACTGCTTTTATAGAAATTAACTGCCTGTATTTTAAGGTTCTCATTTAATGGCGGCTGTTGTGGCCGAAAATGGAGCCTCAATGAGTGAAATTGAGCTGGCCACGCCCCCTGGCCACGCTCCCCATCCTCCTGAGGTCAAACACAACCCTGATGCAGCCTTCAGTGAAATCAAGTTTGACACCCCTGGCTTACAGTGACCTGTGTTACACGTTCGGTGACTCTGCTGCTTAGTTATAGAATAAGAGGGAAAAAGGCTAGGCTTATGCTTTAGTTCTCTTTTTCATAGATAACGAATTAATATTGGAAAGCATGTTAACATTTTAAAGCAGCATTCCTTGGCCTGTTACTCAAATGATTTCCAGCTAACTGAATATTACGACAGTATCCAGTCCATTGTAAAGGCATTGAGTTGGGGAGGCTGACCTACAGTACAATAGTACAACATCCAGAGGGAGGCTAAATTGCAGTTAGATGCTCAAGATAATTATTGAAAGGCTAGTTAGGTAATAATTACTTGTGCCCAATGCAGCACATACAAAGTTCAACTCTTACATTTTGTATGCAATAGAAGTTGGTTTTGGACTAATTTTCCTTTTGGCCTAGATTACTAAAGCAAGTAAGCATTTACGTATGTGAAATACTAGGATCTCTGCAGAATGTAACATTTTATTACTGATATTTTATTGAATACACATATACACATTCTCTTAGCATTTGCAAATCATTTCAAATAATTTGCTTCAAAAGCTATGGCTGGTTATTTCTCTCATTAAAAGCATGTCTACTAATCCTTTAATTTGCTACCACAAAAGCCATGTTATACACCACTAAATGTGTGGGGTATCTGATAAGAATGCTAATGCTGGCTGGCCTTGTTGCCTGCATGCATGCTGCATATTAACTACTATTTGCTGCAAAATCAAAATAAATTGGATCCAAAATATCAATTTAATATGAAGCTTAATTGTCATAATGATATGAATGATGGAAAGCATCGCTCTGTATTCTTCATGTGAAATCTAATAGCTAAGAAATCTCTCAGGTGATACAATAAGCGAGACCCACCTATCTTATTTGAACCTGATTGCTAAGTACCTTGAAATATCCCTTTTATGAAACCCTTAGATTTCTATAAAAGCTTCATGTCTATGTTAATCTCTCCTTTTTGCAAGCCCCTGGGAATATGGCATATGTACCTGTCTTTCCTTTCACTTTCAGGATAAGCAATGTGATTAAAAGTGCATAAAGGAAATAAATACTAAGTCAAAATATTTTTTTCTGAAGGTTTGTGATTACAAATCAGGAAATATAACTAATCCAAGTTATAATAGTTATAATGAATTCTAGTTATATCATTATACAGCAAAACCATTTACTGTACCACTTTGGACCATTCTGTTTGCAAACCATTTCTGCTTCTACCACTTTATACATTGTCTTTTCATCTTCACACATTTCATCTTTTTCTATTTGAGTGTATCATCAACTTCTTTTTCGCCTTTCTCAGTTATCATTTTTCTTCTCACCCCGTTTAGTCTCCCTCTATATATTTGTCTTTTATTTGATCCTCACTGTATGATGAAACTACCTTAACATTTCATTTTGGTAACTCACTTTTGTGTTCTGCTCACTTCCATTGAACATCTATCTATTCGTGATCTCTCTTATTTTACCACACATAAGTACTCCATTCTTGTTTTATTCAACTTATTTTAAAGCTTATTATTTATTTCTTTTATTTATAAAATTTATAGTCCACCCATTTTACCTCAAGGTAACTTTGGACAGCTTACAATCATTAAAAGTTTCTCTTAATTTCAGAATCAATCAATCAGTCTTTCTAACAGTGGGCAGATATATATCTTAATAAACAGCCATTTTTGCCTTTTTTGGAGAAGCATTAATTCCGTGCAACACTTTTATTTTTAATTCAATTCATCTTCATCTACTTTTTTAACCATTTTAATTTCCATGAAAACCATTGTGCATTTCCTTTGTTTAATTGCTCCTCTTTGACAGCATCCTTTGCAAATTTTCCTCTCTATATATGGTATATTCTGTACAATATTCTATGTGTACTTTGTAACATAATCATTTTCATTTTTTGCCTAGCAGATTCCACACCATCTTTTTTCAGATGCAGTTTTCTTTTCTTTCTTTCTTTCTTTCTTTCTTTCTTTCTTTCTTTCTTTCTTTCTTTCTTTCTTTCTTTCTTTCTTTCTTTCT